ATTTGTATCTCCAGTCGCTCTTTTTATTATTTAGGTGTTGGTTAGCAAAATCAAAATGTAGGAAGGCAGCATGGGGATGGCATTCCTGAGGTAATGGGGGGGGGGGGGAGTTTAAAATTTACATGTTAAGGAAAATCACTAATGAAGAGGATCATTTCAGACTTTTCCACTTTTATGGCTATTTTTTACAAGTGGTAGTTGGACCGTGCATATACATTTGAGAGATTGCTTGGCCAATAGGGAAGCTGTGGTTAGAAAAACTCTGTAGTATACTTCCAGGATACCTTTTTATTTTGAATTCTAGGACTCGGTGGGCCTGATATCTCAAACCCTAAATGACTTTTGCATTTTAGGAGGCCCTGTGAATTCCAGAGCTCTGAAATGTGGTTGTAGAGGAAGACAAGTCCTCATCTTCCATTCACTTGATCAAAGATGGAGGTGGGAGGAGAGCTGTGAGCCATCAGTTAAAGGGATGCTAAGCTTTTCCTCAATTAACAGATTCTCCTTCTCTGTCTTACCCAGAATATCACCAGATTTCATTGACCTCAAGATCAGTATCTATCCAGATCCTCTGCTGAGATCTTTCTTATAGCTCTTCTCAAAGGTCATCATCTTCATCTCTTTTAAAGACATTAATCAGACCCTGAAGAGAGATCCTATCAGTGTTTGACTAAGAACTAGAACTTATGAAGGCTCCACATTCTCTGTTTTCTCCCATCTTGTGGTTATTTCTCATTTTGTGCTGCCTCCTCCAATAACCTGTACAGGAGGGCTCTGATAATCAAGGGTTGCATGTATGTGATATGCACATGTACCTCTTACAGCGTTGTGTGCAATGCAAATCAGGCTGGCACGAAAGAGGGAGCAAGAACAAAAAAAGGAATTCCACTTTTTTTTTCCAAATTGGGCAAGGAATCTGAAAGCATGAACCAAGTTGGGCCAAAATAAATTATGCATACTTAAATTGCTCTTACCTAGCTGATGTGTATATGATTAGTCTCCGGGAGCCTCTGTGGACAGTGTTGGATCTCTGTGTGGTCACCTGGATTCAACAGGGTATAGTTACATGGTTTGAAATGTAGGTATAATTGTTGGTGAGAGTGAGATCCTGGGGGGACTCCCGCTTTCCAGTGTCCAGTTGTAAATGGTAAAAGTAGGACATTTTTACTTGATAAAAATGTAGATTGTAATTCATAGTTTAGCATATCCAAACATACAGTGAAAAGGGATTTAAAACATTGACAAATGCAGTGCAATATTATCTAAATATAGCTATATTTAAATATCCTTTTTTAAATGGGGAAAAAACCACTTAAAGTCACCATGTTCCCATTGGATCAGTCAACTTGTATCAGAAAATTACATATAGGTTATCTGATAGTCTTCTACCCTCCACAGCATAATAAATTGTGTATATAGCACCTTGTATCTCCATATTCTTTTGAGTTGTTTTTCAAAGAGTTTTCAATATTATTCCATTTGTGGATACTATAGTCTGCCTATAGTAAGTCCTTATATTTTTTAATATTTTTAATTTGTTGTCTTTATTCTTTATCAATATACTCTATATTTTATTTTTAACAGGGCTTTGAATATCTTTTAAAAATAACCAGTTCTTCAAAAGTTCCTAGCCTACAAAATTTTTTTCTTGCATTTCTACTCATGTTAATTAAATTAAGAGGAAAAGTCCTTACAATTAAAACTTTTGGAAAAGCTTCCCTGTTATTCATCTGAAGCAATTTGCTATGTAGTCATTCTCAGATGTTTTCCAGGTGTGTTGTAATGTAACTCCTGTTGTAATTACCAGTATTGGCCATGTGCCTGAGGATGATAGAAACTATGGCTGAATATACCTGGAAGGGGGCATCAAACTGGTTAAGGCAGCACTGTTTACTTATTTATCAAAATTATATACTTCAGAGGCTCCCAGTGAAACCAGCCCATGCAGTTAACAGTCAGTACAATAAAATCAAGCACAAAGAGCTTACAATGAAACTGGAGGAGACAGACTGTGTTTGCCTCCCCCGCTTCATTTAAGTGAATTTTCACAGCATAATTTCTCACGTTTCAGGAGACAGAAAAAGGGCAAAATCAGTGTGATAGGTGTATCTGCATCCTTTTTACCCATTTACCTCTTCCTCTATGGGCTGAACATTTCTCTGTATATTTTTAGCTTTGTTGCTGTTTCAGCAACACATCCCTAGGATTCTGTGCAACTCTTGGTAAAGCTAAAATATCAGAAGTTACTGGTATTCATAAAGAGACTTGCCTGTTGAAAGAATATACATCAGTTATTTTATTACAGTCTTAATCTTTAAATTTATTGTTATCCATCCCCAGTTGCCTGTGTGTGCATTTGCAGGCAACAGTTGCTGGGACTACCAGCAAAGTGAAGTGTTCCTCATGCACGCACACACTGAGATGGCTGAGGACAGGTAAGCTTTGCAAAAGATGTAGCTGCTTTAATGTGTCAAAGAGAGATGCTTGCTTTGTTCTAAAGTTCTCTGGGAAGCACCTCTTTCAAATGCTGCATACCCCTTGCCTAGAATCATACTTTTATTTTTCAAAATGAATGGGCTTATAGACTATACTTACTGATTTTCTGTGTGTCCCTTTCAACATCTTTTTGTTGGACTTATGTGAATCATTTTGTGTTCCTGTTGTCTTGAGGAAAGAGAACAAACTGTTGAGCCCCTGGGGACTTTCCAATGTATGGTTGCTGCTCCCATGCTTAATTAAATTGGGCTCTTAATATTTTTAAATAGGATGTATTTTTAAATAGGATTAATCAGAGAGCAAAGTTAAAAATAGAGGAGCTTTGCTGAAACTCTAGGCCTGGTTCTGCCTATATATTGCCTTGAAACGTAAGATAGAAGAAAGTTGGGATTTTGATATCATATTTTTATCCCCTCCCCCCATCTACACACACACACACACACACACACGTATATATGATCAACTCAATCATATTTGTCATGTTAGATTTTTGTGTGCATTAGGATTAGCACCAAAAAGCCTATGGAACATGGAAACTTCATATGCTGTTAATAGGCTTTCATGTGGTTTGGTTATAAAACTACTTACTAATTGCTCAAAGCCACAAATTCAATATCACCTTTATGCTTCATCAGTGTTTCCCATTCTCAGTTGTCCTTTGTTTTCTTACCGCCTGTTTCGGTGTTTAACACAGATTAATCTAAGACCACCAATTGGAGAATCTTTGGCTCTCAGGATGAGTTTCTGGCATTCTTCTCCATGGTCTGTGAGACAGATTGTTGTCTTAACCTGGATTGATGCTTATGTTTAACGAGACATTTACTCTCCAAAGAAATGAGGTTAGAAATAACCACAAAGTGAGCCAGGCCTCTGACTGTACTAAGCTGTTCCCTCTTCATAGTGCATTAGAACTTTAAGGGCTGGGAGATGACTTAGTTTTTCCTCATCCTGTGCACGGTGCCTCCAGCCCAGGTTGGGTCATGGTTGACTTTATCAGTATGCAGAAACAAAATTACCCACCTCTCTAAGCAATTGCTAATTGGCCAGCTGTGATTTGCTCAGCATTAATTGTAAGTTCTGCATAGTGTGTAATGCAAACCTGCTGTATACTATAAGGTAGAAGTTCTTAGATTTCAGGGACTCCGTGAATGTGGGTGGGGAAAAAAATGGACTAAACTCTATGTTGACTAAACTAACTTAAATTTAACTTTTCATTCAATAATGTATGTAAGCAAAACGTAATTTATGGCCTCTAGACTCCAAAAATGTTCATTAACATCAATAAAACTAACTATCTAGAATTGTTATGTTCCAAAAATGGTATTGTCTTGTTACTTCTTTAAGGGATTAATAAAGAAACATATTACCATATTACTTATTTGTTATAAGCGTAATTTTCCTTTGCAATACAGCCTGTATCTATGCATTTAAATACATTTTCCTGAGAAGGGTTGCGTAGGTTTCTCCAGATTCTTCTCCAAAAGATCCAGGGCACAAAAAGGTTAAGAACCCCTGTAGAAGGAAAAGACTTTCTTGGTTTGAACTGACTCTTGCTGACTTCATGAGCATGGTCATGTAGTTATTTTGATAATAACTTGATTTGCCATTGCTGCTTCCAGGAAGTGGGTTTTTTTTTTTTTTTAGTTTCCCCATGGAGACCACAGGGATTGGCCCAATCTTAGGTTTTCTCGAGATCAGCCAAACTCAACTAGAGTTAAACTACCTAGGCATTTTTATAATTCAAATATATTCACTCTGTGCTTATGCAAATGTATTGAAAACAAAAACAGACTTGCTAAAATACATCTTCAGTAGCTGGTCAAGTGGATAAATTCTGTGGCAGTGGCAGTCTGTCCCACTTTGATGATTGCCTGTTGTTTTTCCTTCAGCTGCCTTCCTAATCCTTTGTTCTAATTTAGAGATTTCCACTATTTCATTATACAACTGTTACCTGTGAAGATTTGTAACCCTTCCAAATAAGGATGGTGTTTTAATGTTAATTAATTGAACTTCAAAAATGGTGTTAATTCTGTAGAATGTTTAAGTTACACTTGGCTGTGATCAATCGGCTGACTTGATAGACTGATGCCAGCACTAGTGTACTTAATGTTAGACTCCACAGTGTTAAACTGCGTTTTTCTTGTAATTTTAGGTGCTTATTGAAAACAGAAGTTAAATTATACTGTAATGTTTGTAGGTCAAAGTGTGAATAGTATAAAGCTCAATCTTCAAAGTAATTGGGGAGATAGGATTGTAATGGCAAAGATAGAAGATCACACCCTTGCCTTCCTTTTACCATTGTCCCTGACTCCCCCTTTTAGTTTTGTCTTGTTTTTAGCCAACATCCTGGTTGCTTGCTCAAGTCCTTCATTTTTGCAAACCCTCAAATATAATGATTATATAATTTTTAAAAATCCCAAATCTAATTTTGTTAAAATCTTCAGCTTCTGGTTTATTTTTCATGGGTCCATTGTTTTGATTCCTTTACATTTCTTGTTTCCGGCATTTCTTCCATTTAAGTTTTGCACAAAGTCTATGTGAGATTTAATTTCTTACCTTTAAAGTACAGTTAGGGTTAGAGTTAAAATAATTGCTTTGCGCATCTCCTTGAAGCATCAGTGATCTCAAAATTGCTAACATATCTCAGTTATAGTGAACTGTGAGTTCGCTATAAAGTATTTGATAACATCAGCTTTATTTATTATGTTCATTTAAATATTTCTTCCAGAATTTGAAGGCAGATCCAGAAGAACTCTTTACAAAACTGGAGAAGATTGGCAAAGGTTCATTTGGTGAAGTTTTTAAAGGCATTGACAACCGAACACAGAAAGTTGTTGCTATAAAAATTATTGATCTTGAAGAAGCTGAAGATGAAATAGAAGACATACAACAAGAAATAACAGTTCTCAGTCAGTGTGACAGTCCTTATGTCACCAAATATTATGGGTCTTATTTAAAGGTAAGTCTTTCTTTTGAAACACATTATTTGCATTATGCCTGTTTTATGGTTTGGAGTATTTGTAAAATAACTGAATGGTTGTAAATGAAGCCATCTGACATTTTGAAGCCTGGGCAAAGCAAGATGCTTATTCTGTAAGACCTAAAGAAGATAAATTTATGTCTTTCTGTTCCTTTATATAGAGACATCAGCATATGTTGAAAACTGATCAGTATAAAGTTGAAGTACATACGTATTTATAAAATATTTAGGGTGTATATATGTTTTCATGTTTTATATACATAAATATATTTACATACATAAATATATACATACATATACACACATCTCCACACATACATTTTTCATGAATAAATACAATGTCAATGCTAATTTAGCCTTTTAAATTACTAGTCTTCTTATGAAGAATCTTGGAAGTTGTCATTTGGAAAGCATACAGAATGCAAGATATTCCTGACTCATTTTGCAGGATGTTCCTTAGTGTTCTCCACAGCTAGGGAATTCAGAAAGTCCTTTTGTACACCCCTGATTTCCCTCTTTCCCATTTGCACCCTTCACCAATATTGAAGTTTTCCTGAGCCTGGGAAGCCGCAGAAGGTTTGGTTCTGATCTTTAAAGGCCTAAATAACTTATTATCTGACCATTTGAGGAACTGTCTCCCTCATTGTTGAAGTTGTCTTGACATTAAGGTCAGCCAAAGAGGCTATCTTAAAAGATTTCCTAATTTAGTTGTTGGGCACATGGAAGAGGGTCTTCTCTTGTCTTGCTCCATGCTATGGAATGTACTCCCATTAGGAGATGTGCTCAAGAGCAGATATTACCGTGGTTAAGAAAGGTCTTCCCGTACAGCTAGACCTTGTTCATCGGAATAAGTTAATAGTTGATTGTAACTGCTTTTATTAGATTTTCCTTAGGTGTTTATTTTTATGTTGTCTATCTAGAAGATAACTAGATAACAAGGTAGTTAAGGTGGATATGAATCCAATAAATAATAACATTGATGTAGAATTTGGAGGGGCAAAGCAGAATGTCCTAGTAATTCTTGATCCAATAAATTTTAGATGATACCTAGTCTAAAATATATGAATGTATAAGAATGGGATATATTGGGTTTATCAAATACGTGGTCAGAAGTCTAAGGATTGGTTTTTGGATCATGGAAATTCCTATAGGGTTCATGTGACATCAGGTACCAGTGTCCATGCTCAGATCTGTGCCTTGTTCTTATTGCATAAGTCTAGAGACATAGAAACTGGGGCAGAGTTACCATTCCTTTTCTGTTGCCATAACAACATCTGATGGTTTTGATGGCATACTTCCAGGGAGAGGTGGGTAGGTATTTCTCAATTGCTAATAGTGTGTGTACTGTGTGTATCCAGGTTTTGTTACTACTTCAGTCTTTAAGAACTTGCCTGTTCTGGGTGACTCTGCGATTAGAAACAGATCTCAGTACAAATTGGAAAAGCAGCTTCATTTTCCTGTAGAAATTCTGCAGCGATGGCAGGTCTGGTGTTAAAAGAAACAGCTCATGAGTGAGTTTTGTAGTTTGGAGAGTGAAATGTTCTCAGCTTGAAGAATTAGATAAAAGTTCTTGAAGGTCACTAGGTCTGTCTTGGAGAATCATGTCAGCGCACAGTGCATTTCAATTACTATTTGATTTCTGTTTTGTACCTGTAGTACACTAAACTGTATGCAGTCCTAAGCATCTATATTTAAACTAAGAATAGGAAGAAGATTAGCATGGTAATACCATGGATAGGTTAAGTGCAGGATCACTATTGCTTTCCCCATCACCGCACTTACCGTATGACTAGGAATTCCCTAGTTTCAGATTGTTCTGTCTTTTGCACAAATCCAACATAGTACAGTGGGATTGCAGGGCTTCCCTAAAACTGTCAGTATATGTCTGCAGTATAGTTGTCCTTCAAACTAGACTTTAGAAATGCATTATTAGTTGATCCACTTGATTCTTCTATTTCCCCAGAAGGTGGCACCAAATTGTCAGTCTACCTTGTGCTCTTAAATGTGCACTGAGAGATTTTTAAAAAATGGACAAAATGAGCAGTCCTCAAAACATCCACAAAAATTTTAGAAGTATAATTTACAAAAGAAAAGAGAACGCTAATTAAAATATTCTCAGAATCCAGTTGACACAAAATCGTAGTTTACTGAAGTCAGATGGGTCATATATCTGAAAGCTTATAGAGAGAAGTATGTTGGAAATATAACACAGCTTGCAGAATGAAATAAGTATTTGGAGCTCTTGGTTGCTTTGGAAGAACGAGTGTGGGGATGATGCGTAACGATGGATGTTCAGAGTGGGGTAAATGGGTTATGGTGTCATTAGGTATGTAGAATCTAGGGACTATTGAGATATCCTCTTTTTATATCCTTTATTACAAATCTTCCATAAAGGGTCTTTTCTTAAGAGGTTCTAAAAAACCTAGTAATATATAGAATTGTGGCAAATTTAGGATTATCCTAGTACTGGCATAGCTTGTTTCTGCTTAATTTTCCTTTTTATTTCTTGTTTTTCTGTGATGTGTAGCTGGTTATATTCCAGTTGGAGATATAATAGATACTTTGTAAACTTGTTGTATTGGTCATATAGGATTGATCATGAGATTACTACAGGTAGACCTCGCTTAATGATTGCCCTGTTTAGCGACTGTTCAAAGTTACGACAGCACTGAAAAAGTAATTTTATGACCAGTCATCACATTTACAACCATTGCAGCATCCCACAGTCATGTGATTGCCATTTGCATGCTTCACAACCAGCTTCTGACAAACAGTCAATGGAGAAGCCAGCAGTAAAATCACAAGTCATGGTCATGTGATGTCTAAATAATCTACAGGGACTTGCTTAATGACTGAATGGGAAGTAATGTCATAACTCCATCACACTCACATAATGTTTCCCTTAGTGATGGAGTTGCCAGTCCCAATTGTAATCGCTAAGCGAGGACTACCTATAATTGAATATTTGCAGGAAAAAGAAGGAAAGCAAAAAATAAAAGCAGATTTTTAGGCCTATAAAGAAAAGCTGAATGCTGTAACTAAAAAAAAAAAGCAAGGAAATAATTGAATGTCCAATGAGTTGTGAAGTTTAAAATATAAGAATGGTAGGGTTGGCTGCACTTTTAGGCAATTTTACTGCAGAAAGCAAATTTTGAAATCCTTAAAAAAAAAGAAGCAACAAATTGTCCTATTTTTCACCACTATAGTGGCTGCTATTTAAATTATTTGCTTTAGACATCAAAATATGTCTGATCTTTTCTAACTAGAAGTCACTATATTTTAATAGCTCTTCAACAAGATATGATTTCAGTGCATAAAGTCCATAATTTTAAAGTCTTGTCCACTATGTTAGATTTTACTGCAGTGTAGAAAGATGCAGAAATGTGAAAATATGTTGTTTAGGCAGATCAGGTCTTTTGTAGCGGCTTACAATTTTGTATGCAGTAATAATGTAGATAAAATTCAAAGTCTGAGTAAGATTCCAGTTTAACAAATTGACTGATTGTACTAATAAACATTCATATGGATATGACTTTCCTACCATGTTGAAACTATTTGTGTTACAGCTTCCTTATTAGCCTCCAACTGTAAGTTATGCTAGAATTTTGTTTTGCCAAATGTATTCTTCATTGCTTGTCAAGATGTGTATATTTTCTCTTGTGGTTGACCTTGTGGGTGGATGGGAAACTAAACATGACAGATGCGTCATGTTCAACACCAGTATTTCTTTTCTTGCAAGGATATTTTGTACAGCTAGCACTAAGGATTAGCATTCAGAAGATAAGTTGAACTATATCTCCCCTCAAAGAAATATCATCTGAGGGCAGCTGATTATCATACTAAGGGTTTAAAGGATATAAGGATCTCCAATGATCTCTCAAACGTGTTGTTAGGTAAAAAGATCGAACATACATAATCTCTTTCAGTTGGCAAACCTTTTTAATGTTTAAAGTTAGTGCACAACTACTGACAAGGTTAATTCAGTCACCAGAGAGAAGAAGTTTTATCAAGTTATTAAAAGACCATACTGACACTTGGATTGGAAGTGAAACGTAAATGTTCGCTGTTCCCTCTCTTTTCCTGTCCTGTTTGGCACCGCCGCAGCTTCAGTAGTAACTGAACAAATACTAGTTTTACTTGTTCTTCTGGCAAAACAGGCTCTTCTCTACCGTAGCTCATATTTCTGTGAATTTTTAAGATTCTATTTTCAGTTTTATTACAAGAAACTACTACTGTTTTCGAAACACAAATCCGGGTTTTCTAATCCAAATATTTGTTAATGAGCCTGCATTTTCTTTTTGTAAAAATATTATATGAAAGGTTCTAGTATTGCCCTGAGTCAACTGGAAAATAGAGATTAAGATACGTATGTTCGTGGGTGAAATACTAAATTTGTTCTAAGGTGGTAGAAGCCAAATATTAAATTCCTATGAAATCTTTATTTTGATAGAAATGTCATGAACAGTGTATGTTACTCAAAAAAGTCTTGCCAAGCATCCTTTATTGAGGGAGCAGGCAACCAGGCAGCCTGTGTTTATTGCATTGTTTCCAAGAGTTGTAGTGCAGGTCTTTTTAAAAAATGGGTGAAATCCATCTCGGTTTTTAAAAATGTGGAGTGGGCTCTAGGAAGCTGTGTTTTGGTGTAGAGTTTTTGGAGACTGAAGAAATGATATTAGGGTTGCGTGCAGGTTTATTTTTATTTATGTATATCATTGCCTATCTCACATGGGTGACTCTGGGAGGCATACAAGGATTAAAAGCTCAAAAACCACAACCCCAGTGCCCAAGGATGAACAATGGCCCCATTCATAAAAAAAGAACACATCAATGACAACAGAACTCAGCAAATCTCCTGACCCAAATGTCTGGGGGAAACAGCCAGGTCTTCCATGCCTTGCAAAAGATTCACAGGGTCAGGGGTATCTGAATCTCTGGAGGGATACTATTCCATAAGTTGCCAACCCTATGTTATTAGTATT